GTGAAGCCATGCATTATGCAGTGCCGTCCGCCCGAACGTCCAGACGATCTGGCAGTTCTGGGCAGCGGCACCACCGCCAGCCACCGCGCACCGCCAAGCCATGGACACCGTGGACATTGAAATAACAAGAAGGAGGAGAAGGGGCAGGAAGAGCATGAAGAGGATGAGAAGGAGCACGAGGAGGAGGAGCATGAAGAGCATAAGGATTTCGAGAAGCATGAGGAGGAGAAGCCAGAGGAAGAGCAAGAGAATGAGGAGCATGAAGAGCATGAGCAGCATGAGGAGGAGCGTGAAGAGCAGGAAGAGCATGAGGAGGGGGAGAATGAAGAGCATCAGGAGCACGTTAAACATGAGTAGGAGGAGCATGAACAGGAGTAGAAGGAGCATGAGGTTGAGAAGAAGGAGTTGAAGAAGGGGGAGTTGAAGAAGGAGGAGGAGAAGAAGAAGAAGAAGGCGGGCTGCGGATCCGGCAAGGCGGCAAGCCTTGCCAGACATTAATGATTCCGGCGATGAGGATGACGAGCGGAGGGCGAATTGGCTTTGTTATTTTATTTCCAGAGAATAAATGTGGCGGCAAAGCCGCAGCGCGTCGCGCCCGGCCCGCCTCGCCTCGCGTGCGTGGCTGTGCGGCTCGCCACGGCACGGCACGGCACGGCGCGCCGCGGGCACGCCACGCCAGTGTTTACCGAGGCTCTGTGTCTCCGCCGCAGCGAATTCCGCCCCGGAATTTTATCTCTGTTTTCATTCCATCTCTGGCGGCCGATTCCACGCCCTGCTGCGTGCCGCTCTAATGACTGCTGGCTGGGGCTTCCCCCTCCCCCCTCCCCCTCCCCCTCTCGGCCGGCCGCCGCCGGACTGATTACGAGGCCGGCCTCGCCGCGAGCCACTTATTTAAGCGCGTTTCCGCGAGTGTCGCGAGCCCGTGTTTTTATTAATTCCGTTTATGACTGACGAGTGGCGCGACGACGGAACGACAAAAGCCGAACTGCATACCGCACCGTGTGAGGGGGGGGGGGGACGCGGTCAGCTCGCGGCGGGTATGTGTGTGAGCGTGCGGACGGGCGGCCCCGCTGAGCCTGATGACGATAATAAAGTGTCGGAGTGAACGGTGAACAGTCGTCTCGTGTGTGTGTGTGTGTCCGCGCGCGCGTGTTTCGACCGCAAACTATCCTCCTCCCGGAGGACCTCCCGATCCCGTCCGACTCTCTTCCCACCCCGCCCGTCCACCGCAGCCCGCTGCCACCCGTTCCCGCAGGAGTCATTTTCATATCGGAAGCACGTTATCGTCATGTCCCCCCCCTCCCCTCCCCTGCCCCCCGCGGATGCGGTTTGGAGCGATCGGCGCGGTTCTGGGCCGGGCTGGCCGCTAGAGCGCGCCCGGTGGTGGCTCCGACGACGCGGCTGCACGCCGGCGAGCGAACTTTCCAGAGGTTCTAGTGCGAGCCAAGGCTTGTTTCTGGGAAAAGTTACACTTACTAGTTGAATGCGAATATGAATACCCCTGGGAGTGTATCCCCCTCGCTTGAATGGCAGTGTGGCAGCGCTGCCGCCGCACTTTTCCTTGTGCGGCACACTGGCGTGGCCTGGCGGGGCCGCGGGGCTCCCCGTGCGTCGGCCGCGTCCAGGCGGAGTGACTCGTCTCTTGAATAATGGAATGCACGGGCTGGCGTCTGATTCCGACCGGGCCTCTCTCTCTCTCTCTCTCTCTCTCTCTCTCTCTCTCTCTCTCTCTCTCGCACTGGACGGACGACACGGAAGGGAGCGAGAGAGACGGAAGCACGGCCCACTCTGGAGGCAGCCTGGCTGGCCGGCCTGAACTGTTTCCAAACGCCCACCTCAACGGGCGAGAATAAACAGACGACGCGTCGCGCCTCCAGCGGCCTCCGGCGGCGCGGCCTGGAAAAACGAACTGGGCTGAATCTCGACGAGTGATTCGCACCGCGGATGCAGCACAGTGGGCCAGAAGACCGGCGGAGGCGGCTAAAATCTCTGGACGCGTTTCGCGCTCAAACTGAACGTGTGACCCCCACCAATGGATTGCTCTCCTAGGTTTTTTTTTCAGTTTTCCATGCTTTTTCAAAATTGGTTGTGTGGTTTGCTGTGTCCTTTTGATCCCCCGAGCCCCACACGCGGGGGCAGAGGAAACGGATCAGTCGGCAAACAAATACTCAACCGGCGCACCCACACACGCGCACGAGGGGGCGCTCACACACGTGCTGAGTATTTGGCGGAGAGAGAGAGAGAGAGAGAGAGAGGCCCAAAAAAAGGGTGCCGCTGCAGTATGCGGGCCACGCCTGCGTCGGGGTGACGGAGGGACAGGAGCCAGGCGGGCCAAATTGGAGGATGTGGAGTCGCCCAGTAATTGTTTAACTTTCTTCCGCGCAGCTCTCTCTCTCTCTCTCTCTCTCTCTCTCTCTCTCTCTCTGTGTCTCTCTCTCTCTCTCTCTCTCTCTTTCTCTCTCTCTCTCTCTGTCTCTCTCTCTCTCTCTGTCTCTCTCTCTCTCTCTCTCTGTCTCTCTCTGTCTCTCTCTCTCTCTCTCTCTCTCTCTCTCTCTCTCTCTCTCTCTACGACGCCCTGTCTCCCGCGCGGAGCCACAATAGTCTGATTCAGAACAGTGCTCTTTCTGTCTCGGTGGCTGCCTCCCTCCCCCCCCTTCCGGGAAAACCCGTCCCCGGGCCGCCCCCTCGCGTGCAAAGAGCGCCGGCCGACAGGGCCCCGCGGCGGGAGCGGGGGGCCTCGGCGGGGCCCCGGGGTGGAGGGGGGGGGGCCGCCGCCGGCCCGCCAGGCGCCCCCCCGGGGGCCCGTGCGGGCCCCCGGCCAAAAAAAGAAAGGCAATCCGAGGCGGCCCGAACGGGGGAAGGGTTGGGGGTGTCTGGGCTGTCTCCGCCACGGCCCCGCCACGGCTGCCGGTTTTGTCGTCATCCGTCGCCTGCGTCGGCCGAGGCTGCGCCTGTCTGCCGCTTGTCTCCTCCCGCCGCGGCCTCCGCTGCCGCCCCGCGCCCCCGCCTGCGGGCCTGTCTGCCTGCCTGCCTGCCTGCCTGTCTGCCTGGCCCTGTGGCGCCCAGTGGTCCAGGGCGGTGTGACACAGTGCTACGCGAGTACTTGTACAGCGTCAGGGCGACGGGCCGGCGAAGGAAACATCGCATGCAGCGCCACAGTGGCTGGAAGACCGGCGCAGGCCAACTCTAGACGCGTTTTGAGCTCCAGAATCGCTAAATGGGACTCGAATCAGGCGTGTGACCTCATCAACGGACTCCTCGTTCGGAGGGCAATCCATTGGTGGGGTCACATGTTCGGTTCGAGTACCGATTAGGGACTCTGGAGCTCAAAACGCGTCCGGGATTTTCACCGCCTGCGCCGGCCCACTGTGTGTCGTACACTCCACGCGAGCACGGCGACTCGCCTGGCGCACGTAACGCACGGACTGGCTGTTGTCACTGCCTGTGAGGTGGAGTGTGCCCCCCCTGCGAGTGTAGCGGCCGTACACAGGTGGTTGTAGATACACACGTGTGTGTTCTCGCTAATGACTAAAGCCGATTTGGCTCGCTGCTCACCCCTGCAAGGTGGCTCTGCCCGCGCGTGCGCGTCTGTGTGTGCGTGTGTGTGTGTGTGTGTGTGTGTGTGTGTGTGTGTGCACGTGACTCGCTGCCACCTGCGGCGAACGTGAGCGAAGGAGGGGGGACGGGAAGACGTCGTGCAGAGGAGAGGGAGGGGGAAGGGGGAAGGGGGATGACATGGAAAAACGACAAAACAGCTCGGGGAAATCCGCAGAGCGAGGTTGCTCTCTTCTTTGCCCGAACCGAATCTGTCTCAGTTTTTCGCGCACTTGCTCTGTCCCCCTTTGTCTCTCCCTCTCGTACTCGGTGGTACAATTAACGACATCAGCCCCGTTGCAACCGGGCCGAATCAGCACCGCGTTTTGTCGTTCTCTTTCTCTCCCATTCGGGCCACCCCATGAGAGCGAGAGAGGGAGAGAGAGAGAGAGAGAGAGAGAGAGAGAGAGAGAGAGAGACGGTTGCGATTGGCGGAAATCAGTCAGCAGGCATCGCGCGTCGGTTCGACCCTACTGCGAGGGGCTTCCCGCCAACCTGCGAACTACCCATATGATGACGTATGTGTGCGTGTGTGTGTGCGCGCGCGCCCATGCGCCTGTGTACGTGAGCAGTGTGCCTGCGATTTTGTGCACGCCGTGCGTGTGAGCGAGTGCGCCTGAGGGGGTGCGAGAGAGACGGGTAGAGAATGGGGTGCTTTTACTGTCACCATAAAAATGACACATTCCGCGGCGGCCGTGAGATTGTCGGTATGGCGCTGTGCTGCGCTGGGCCGCGCTGGGCCGCGAAACGTTTCAACCAGCCGATGCCATCCCCCCTCTCTCTCTCTCTCTCTTCTCTCTCTCTCTCTCTCTCTCTCTCTCTCTCTCTCTCTCTCTCTCTCTCTCTCTCTCTCCGGGCCGCTCGCCCGGCCGGCTCTCGCTCCCAGGGGTGATAAGAGAACGCGGAGTCGGGTGACCACACGGTGGCTAATAAACGGCCCCTGCTCGAAATTCGATATGCTGTGCCACGTCGACCCCAACGCAGCATAACACAGTGCGAAACGGTGTTTCCCTCTGTGTGTGTGTGCGTGCTGGGCAAATTTGCCCCGCCTGTTTAAGAATCTGCACGTTAAGGCTGTCTGTCCTTCTTTCCCCTTCCGCCTCACTGAGCAGTCCTTTGTGTTTGCCCTGCAGATGGCGTGGCCGTGGAGGTGGTCGGCGAGGAGGCGGCGGCTGGCGCGGCCCTGGCCGCTGGCCCCGGCCCTGACTCTGACGGCGGCCTTAACGGCGGCGGCCTCGACGGTGGTGGCCTCAACGGCGGCGGCCCCAACGGCGGCAGCCTCGTCGGCGGCCTCAACGACGGCCTCAACGACGGCCTCAACGGCGGCCTCAACGGCGGCCTCAGCGGCGGCCTCAACGGCGGCGTCCTCGACGGTGGCGTCCTCGACGGCGGCCTCCTCGACGGCGGCCTCGGCCCGGACGGCCCCGGCTGCAAGCGCGGCGACCGCTTCTTCCGGCCCGGGTCGACCTGGCAGGAGGACGACGGCTGCCTGTCGTGTTCCTGCGGCCGCGGAGGCCACGCGCGCTGCCAGGCCTTTATGTGCCAGGTCAGCTGCGACAACCCGCGCCGCGTGCAGGGCGAGTGCTGCCCCGCCTGTGACGGTCAGTACACTTTTTGGACCTTTCGGACCTTTTGGACCTTTTGGACCTTTTGGACCTTTCGGACCTTTTGGACCTTTTTGACCTTTACGACCTTTGGGACCTTTTCGACCTTTTGGACCTTTTGGACCTTTCGGGCCTTTAGGACCTTTAGGACCTTCCGGACCTTTCGGACCTTTAGGACCTTCCGGACCTTTAGGACCTTCCGGATCTTTTGGACCTTTCGGACCTTTTGGACGTTTCGGACCTTATGGACCTTTTGGACCGTTTGGACCATTCGGACCTTTCGGACCTTTTCGGACCTTTAGCCAGTGTCTAGAGTCCCAGATCTGTTGCAGAAACGCACACTCTGCCGAGCACTCTGCGTATCTTCTACACATCTCGGACTCTACCCGAATCGAAACCTTCCCGCAGCCGGCGTTCTGACGTCCCTCTCTCTCTCTCTCCGCAGGGCTGTCCGTGGTGACGCAGTCGCAGTCCTGCCCGTCGCTGGGGAACTGCACCCTAAAATGCACCCACGGCTTCGTCCTGGACGACGTGGGCTGCTACACGTGCCAGTGCCAGCAAGGGGGTAAGCCGCACCAAGTCGTCTCTCTTTTCGCGCAGGCGGCAAAAACGCTAGACGCGTTTTGAGCTCCAGCGTCGCTAAATGGCATGCACTCGAACCGAACGAGTGACCCCACCAATGGATTCCTCGTTCTGAGAGCAATCCATTGGTGGGGTCACACGTTCGGTTTGAGTCCCATTTAGCGACGCTGGAGCTCAAAACGCGTGAGTTTTGTCCGCCTCCACCGGTCTTCTGGCCCACTGTGCACAGGTACAGTCGAAGTGGACGTCCAGTCAGTCAGTCCAGCGGCCTCGAATGAGGGCGGCTTTCGTGCCTACAGAGACTACATCGCTGGCAACGATGTGCCAGAATGGGGCATGTTGGCCGTGTTGGTGGCAGACACGGCCACAAACACGTATACGCGTAGTTGTAGTCTCTCTTTGGTTGACCTCGCCGTCTCTCTCGCACGCTGGCCCGGCCTGCCTGGTCCCGTCTGGTCGCTCAGGGCGACAACGGGTAGCACACTGCTCTCCTTTGAACGGTTGGCGCTCGCACGTGCCTTCGAGCTCCGGGCTTTGCAGCTTTGCACTGTTATGTCATGTTAGAGCGCTCTGCCTTAAATTAACACCAAAAAGTCACACAAATTTAAATTTTTTGAGTCTTTTTGTTTTTATTCTTTGTTTGTTTGCGCCTGAGGTGGGTCAAGTTTCCTCCTCGGATGAAATTCACCCTATTGTGAGGTCATGGTTTTTGTTTTGTTATCCAGGCCTAAATTAAATCTGTTCTCTCTCCCAATTTTTTTCTTTTTTTTTCGATTTTTTTTTTTTATATATGGATCTTCTTTTCCCCGTCTGTTCCGTTCCATCAAAACTGAGCAGGACCAACTAATAAGGAACAAGCGAGCGGGCCGCCGACCCGGGCATCAGAAACAATTTCAACTTGAGTGGGGCAGGGCGGGGCGCGGCGCGGCTTGCCTGGCCTGCCTGGCTTGCCCAGGGTCGGAGGCAGAGTGGTCCGTCCGGGCCGACCCGGCCGGGCCCACCAGCTGCTAACTTCTCACTTTCTTCTGTTTGGCTTGCACCTGATGACGCCCCTCTCCCATTTATTGAAATCGCCATTTTGTTTACGGTCCCGCCAAGCTTCGCTCCGCACAGTGGGCCAGAAGCCGGTGGAGGCGGCCAAAACTCTAGACGCGTTTTGAGCTCCAGAGTCGCTAAATGGGACTCGAACCGAACGTGTGACCCCACCAATGGATTCCTCGTTCGGAGAGCTATCCATTGGTGGGGTCGCACGTTCGGTTCGAGTCCCATTTAGCGACTCTGGAGCTCAAAACGCGTCTAGAGTTTTGGCCGCCTCCACCGGCTTCTGGCCCACTGGGCTCCGCCCGCTCCGCCCGCAGCGCCCCTGGCGGGGATCAGGGGAAGCAGCTGCTGTACCGCCGACAGGGCCGCGGGCGGGGCGGGGCGGGCACTAAAGCGATGTCGGTGGTGCTCACCGCGGCGACCGCAAAGAGTTTCACTCAAAGGAATAAAGCTAAAATTTTAAATACTTACATCCCACATACGATTTTACTGTAAAGCGACGCAAAGCGAGATGATTAAATTTTTCTCCCTCATGCCGAGCCGGTGTTTGAACCCGCCGTCCCTGTGTCCACAGCGGCGTGCACACTGGAGTGCCACGCGGGGTACGCCCGCGACGCGGCCGGCAACGAGCTCTGCGAGTGTGCCTGCCCCGCCATGGAGAACTGCAGCAAGCGCTGCGCGCACGGCTACCGCAAGGACGCCAGCGGCTGCAGCCAGTGCGCCTGCCTGCGTCAGTACACCAGAAAAAAAAAAAGAAAACGAAGTACGACCGAGTCATGCGTGACGTGTTTTTGGTTCATTTTCTTTCTTTTGCTGCAGCTGGCGCGGAGACGTCTCAGCCCGTGGTCGGCGAGGGGGCGCCGCCCAAGAGCTGCGCAGGTACTTGTTCCTCATTTACGCTTAAATCATTGTGTGTGTGTGTGTGTGTGTGTGTGTCTGTCTGTGTGTCTGTTCAGGTGTGCACGCGCGTAAAACTAATTTTATTTATTTGTTCGTTTTCATTTTTCCTTCCAGACGCGGTCCGGGAGCGCGACGACGGCGAGTACTGGTGGGACGGGTGCCGGGGCTGCTACTGCTGGGGCGGGGCGACGCTGTGCGAGCTAGCCTCGTGCAAGGACGTGCCGTCGGCGCTGCGCCGCATGGCGGACCACGCGCTGTGCGACTCGGCGTCCGCGGCGTCGGCGGCGTTCGCGGGGCTGGCGGCGGGGTGCGCGTCGTGCCGCTGCCTGCACGGGCGCGCGCTCTGCGAGGAGACGGCGTGCCCGCCGGCCGCCTGCCCGCACCCGCTGCCGCCGGACCCCATGGGCTGCTGCCCCACCTGCCCGGACAGGTACGGTACACTGCGAGAAAAAACAACAGGGAGTCCTGTTAATTTTTTCACGGCGTCGCTCTGTACCCAAAACCACAGTGAACTCCGTCTTTTAAAAGACGGAGATCGCTGTGGTATTATGTGTTCATCTCTCTGTTGTCCGAGCGGCCAATGCCACATCGGGACGGCATGGTCAAAGTCTCATAGGTCACCGTTGGGTCCCCGAGGACGTCGAGGGGCACCTCACAGGGTCCCCGACGACGATGCGAGCATTTTAGACCTAGGTTCCGACCATTCGTTGAGAAGGTCTCATCAAGATCTACTCGAATCAAGAATAAAAAAAATTTCTTGGTCAACCCCCTTTTTTCAAGATCCAGTTGACCAATCAGGATAGTTTTTTCTCGCAGTGTATCGGGTTCGACTCCCGGCGGGGCCCGCTTTGTTTTCGTTTTTCCGGAGTGGCTAACCGTGTTGCAGCGCGCCGCGCGAGCCCCCCTCGCCGCTGCTGCGGGGGTCGGGCTGCGCGGGCCACCACGCGCACGGCACGTCGTGGCGCGAGTCCGACTGCCGGTCGTGCCGATGCGTGCACGGCAGCACCGAGTGCTTCGAGCAGCGCTGCGCCGCGCTGCACTGCGACCTGCAGTTCACGCCCAGGGGCATGTGCTGCCCGGCGTGCCTCGGTAAGCCCCTGCTGCCCAGCCTGCCCAGCGCACAGTGGGCCAGAAGACCGGAGGCGGCCAAAACTCTAGACGGGGTTTTGGGCTCCAGAGTCGCTAGATGAGAATCGAACCGAACGTCCCAGCTTAAAAATCCACTCATGAAGTCGAGGTGGAAACAGCGCATTCCACCTAGAAAGTGGCGATTCCACCTTGAGAAGAAGGTAATTCCACGTGGATGACGCCTTTCCACGTGGGCTTTGTAGATTTCCGCCCCGACTTATCTGGGTGGAAAACGATCTGTTCCACCTTGACAAGGTTTCCATGTGGAAGTCGCAAATTTCCACCCCAGCTTTACTAGGTGGAAATAATTCTTCCACCTGGGCAAAATTTCCGAGTGGAAATTAGAATCTTCCACCTGGTATTGTTATTGCCCGTGCGTTGAAGTCTCCGAGCCATTTTAAGATTTCCTCAATAATATGTTAACCTTCATAGCTATCTTAAATCTATGAGCGGAAATGGGTGTAGCGCGAGGGGGTAACGACTGGTTAATTTCGTGTCAGCCGGATTACGGATTACCCCGGATTACCCCGGATTAACCCAAAATTACCACCGGATTACAACAAAAAAATTCCTGGATTACCTTTGGATTTAGCAGGATTACCCCGGATTACCTCAAAATTTTCCCGGATTACCCCGGATTACCTCAAAATTTTGGGTTATCCGGATTACGGATTACCAATTTGCTGTCAGCCGGATTCCCGAAGTCGTTACCCCCTCGGTGTAGCGTGAAAAGTTAGGGTGGAAGGACCATTCTACTCTTGAGTGGCGACGTACCGAGGGCTGACTGATGGACTCAAACACATCTTTCATATTCCGCCTGGAATTTCATTCCACCCAAGTGGAATCCATGTTCCACCCAGGTGGAATCCACTGCAACGTGGAAAATACAATTTCCACCTGGGATGGAAGGGCCACCTTGTAAAAGTAACCAATTATCACGTTGTAAACTGTTTCCACCCAGCCATTTCCACCTGACCCATTTCCACCTTACGTTTTCCACCTAGAAAGTAGCAAGTGGATTTTTAAGCTGGGGTGTGACCCCACCAATGGATTGCTCTCCGAACGAGGAATCCATTGATGCGGTCACACGTGCGGTTCGAGTCCTGTTTGGCGGCTCTCGAGCTCAAAACGCGTCTAGAGTTTTGGCCGCCTCACCGGCCTTCTGGCCCACTGTGCAGCGCTCTGTCTCTCTCGCACCCACACGGGACGCCCCGCGAGTGCGAGAGAGACGGAGCGACGACTCTACGTCGCGCAATAACTCCCGAGTGTCCAGGTCGTTAATTTTAATCTTTAATCCGCACCTCTTTCCCCAGGCGACGGCTCCAAGCTGCCCCCGAAACTCGCCCCCCAGGGGACCCTGCCGTCGCTGCCCCTGGACGGCGGCCTCGGCGGCCTCGGCGGCCTCGGCGGACGGGCCGGCCGGCCGACGGGGACGTGCTGGTGGCGCGGCCAAGCCCTGGCCCCCGCCGACGAGTGGTTCCCCGACGAGTGCACACACTGCCAGTGCGACCCGGCGGGCTCGGGCTCCAGCACCTGCACCCAGGTGGTGTGCCCCGCCGGCCCCGCCTGCAGCAGCGCGGCCAGCAGGGCCTCCAGCCGCGCGCCCTTCTGCTGCCCGCCCTGCCAAGGTGAGCCTGCCCCCGCCTGTACAGTGGGCCAGAAGACCGGTGGAGGCGGCCGAAATCCCCGACGCGTCTTGAGCTCCAGAGTCGCCAAACAGGACTCGAATGGAACGTGTGACCCCACCAATGGATTGCTCTCCGAACGAGGAATCTATTGGTGGGGTCCCACGTTCAGTTCGAGTCTCATTTAGCGGCTCTGGAGCTCAAAACTCGTCCGGGATTATTGGCCGCCTCCACCCGGTCTTCTGGCCCACTGTACCGTCTCTCCTTTGCATGTTATGCCCTTTTTTTGTTTCGTGCTGGTGTGCGAGTTGAATTTTTCCATCGATATTTTTCCTCGGTTGCGTGCTTCGCGTGCCACACTGATGGGCCAGGTGACAGGTACGGTCTCGACTTGCCGACCTCGCGGCATGGCGCAAACGAGCCTGGTCACGACACTGGCGCCTCCCATTTTCGTTTCGCCACCATTTCCCCCCACCCCCGCCTCGGACCCGGACACGATACACGTGAACACTCCATTTTTGCAGCGTTCCTCCTTCCTCTCAATTACTGGTTCAGCCTCGCGCCTAAGCGGGGCCTCGTAATTATTTCGGTGCCCACATCGTTAGAGCTTTTATCCGGCTGATGGCTTTCGCCGCTTGCGCATGGACGTGTGCGGCCGGGCCCACAGTGGGCCAGAGGACCGGTGGAGGCGGTCAGAATCTCGGACGCGTTTTGAGCTCCAGATTCGCTAAATGGGACTCGACCCGAGCGTGTGACCCCACGAATGGATTGCTCTCCGAACGAGGGACTCATTGCTGGGGCCACACACCCGGTTCTAGTCCTGCTTAGCGACTCTGGAGCTCAAAGCGCGTCTAGAGTTTTGGCCGCTTCACCGGTCTTCTAGCCCACTGTGCGGTCGGCCCGGCGCGAGGCTAGCTCGGCTAGCAGTGAGGGTGTCCGCAGTCCCCACGGGCCTGCATGGCCCATAATGGGGCCCTCGAGAGTGATTTTCGCCCCTCCCTCGCCCTCCTATTTCTATTTCTCGTCCGTCCCACCGACACACACGCCTTGCTCGTTTTTCCGTCCGGGGCTTTACTCTCATTTCTGTGCCTCGCGGGGCTTTACTCATGAAAGGATGCAATTATTTTCTCTTCTTCGGATCGGAGCCCCGCGCCCCGAGCCCCCGCCGGCTGCTTCCGAGCTGTCTCTCTCGCACCCTTACGGCACGCCCTGCGAGTGCGAGAGAGACAGAAGGCAGCGCTCGGAATCAGCCTGCTGCATGGCCTAATGCCGTGCGCGTCGCGTCGCCTCGCGTCGCCTCGCGTCGCGTCGCCTTCCGACGAGTAATCAAAGTTTTTCCCTCAAGGGCGAGGCGTAGGAAAGGGTTGCGGGGCGCAAGGCTCGCAGGGCTCGCAGGGCACGCAGGGCTCGCAGGGCACGCAGGGCTCGCAGGGCTCGCAGGGCTCGCAGGGCTCGCAGGGCTCGCAGGGCTCGCAGGGCTCGCAGGGCTCGCAGGGCTCGCAGGGCACGCAGGGCTCGCAGGGCTCGTTGACGAGATAGACACACCGCACTTGGCCTCGTCTCTGGATAAGCCGAGCCGCATCGTACTGCGCTGCCTGTTTTTTTTTTTTTTTTTCTAGCCTTGAACCACGTTGCCCCACTGTAAGAAAAAACAAATCAACCATTTTTTTAAAAAAAATTATTTTTTTATTTTTATTTTTGTAAGTTAAAGGAACCGAAACTCAAATAGTTGTAGTCGATTTTTACTAACGTTTTTTTTTTTTTGGGGGGGGGGGGAGACCGAGTGACTTTTGCGACCCAAAGTTCCAAGCGGTGTCTTGGAAAATGAACCAGATGAGTAATCGCAATGCAATGGGTTGGTTGCAGACGGCGCCGGCGGCGTGACGCTGCTCGTGTCGCTGCTCGTGGTGGTGGCCCTGCTCGTGCTGGTGGTGCTGGCGCTGGGCTACTTCGTCTGGCAGCGCAACCGGAGGCAGACGCTGCACATCGCCCGCGCCGACGCCGTCCGGCCCAACTGCCAGGCCCGGCCCGCCGCCACCTACACCTACAACATGATCCCGCCGCTGTCGCGGTCAGCCTGACCCACCCGCTGTGTTTCGGCACCTCGATTCCATTAGCCTTCTCTGTCTCTCTCTCTCTTCGAACAAAGATGCGGCATTGAGTGTCCCCCCCTCCTCCTCTGGCCCCGCAGCGCGCGCGTGTGTGTACCCATGTTTACCAAGAACCCTCTCAGTTGTGTGTATCTTCTCGCAAAGTTTACTAAAACTACGGTTAAGTTATTATCGCCGGTAGTGTATTTCTTGTAGAGGTTGTAGGCACCTACGGTATCTATTTATTCGCATAGATTTAGGGTAGTGTTTATTTAATATTGTGAACAAATATTTTATTGCAGTTAGTTTCGCACGTAACGACAGGTTGCAGTATTAAATCACAAAACGTCCTTTTACACTATTCAAGTATTTTATTTTTGTTAGATTTGAGAGGAGTCCTTTCTAGTGACCCGTGACACGTTAGGCTATTTTAGGTATATTTAAGATTGACTGGCTTTTTGAATGAGTCACATGTGATTTTATGTTATTGTGATAAAAGTAGATAAATAGTGACTTTTAGAAACTGTTAAGTCTGGTAAGCGAACTAAAGATAATCTAATTATTTTTAAAAGGAAACCATTAAGTAATTATATTTTTCAACCTGCTTTCATGTTAACAGTTGAGAACATGATGCAAAAGTTAAACAACATAACTGTGAAATAATATGTTACATTAAAATTATCACATGCCACATTACAGCGAACAAATGTCACCTCATGTATTCCTCCTTTTTTTTGTTCTCTCAATACAAATCTGTCCTAAGTCCGGCACAATATTAATATTCCATTTACTCTGGAAAAAAAGCAATAAAAACCCTGATCAAAACTTAAACTCCCATTTTTTTGTTTTCCCTTTGAATCCTCCCATAGCAAACGTGTACATTCATTCACTGCCAAGCAGACACCGATTTCCTGATTCGAACCCCGGCTGCCTTGGTCACATGGTTCGTGCTGTCCTCCAGCAATCACTCTTTGCCCGATACAGCAATCAATCTCTCCAATCTCTCTCTCTCTCTCTCTCTCTCTCTCTCTCTCTCTCTCTCTCTCTCTCTCTCTCTCTCTCTCTCTCTCTCTCTCTCTCTCTCTCTCTCTCTCTCACACACACACGCACACACACACACAGTCGCGCGCGCGCCCTCCAATCGAATTGGCGCCATCAAGGGGCGCCTTATTCGCAGTCTAAATAAAGCCGTGTGTTGATTAGATTCCGCTTTGATCGGCCACTATGAAACGCGCTCGTCTCCCCGCCGCGCTGCCGCGCTGATCGAAAGCACGGCCGCGTGGAAGGCGCCACCAGCACACTGCTTCCGTCGTTCTGTCTCTCTCGCACTCACGGGGCGTCCCGTTCAAGGTGCGAGAGAGACAGAGCGACGTAAACGACTCTCGGAAGCAGTGTGCAGCCCGCCACCGAAGCAAGGCGGAAAGAAAAACAGCGCGCGGCAAGCCGGGCGAGCATCCACCCATCCATCCAGCCGGCACCCAGGCCGCGTCGCCTCGCACCCGGGACGGCCCGCGACACCTCTAAATCCGAGTAGACGATGGAGTACCTCCACGCGGCAGTTCACCCGAGCTTACTTCTAGGACAAGCACATCGGCATGGACCTGGACACACCCTCGGGAACACTGCGGTCAGGCGAGCGGATCAAATTCCTCATTTTTAATTTTTTTTTTCAGTCACATTTTGAAAGAGAGTGGCGCGCGTGGCGTCCAGCACGAGTGCGAGAGAGACAGCGACGTGCCGGTGGCGCAGCCGCAGGGCCGCGGCCGCCGCGGCCAGAGCGGCGTCCTTCCTCAGTCACAACATTCCGGGGGCACCGCGGTACCGGGCTGCGGCTAGCACGGCTGGCAGCGCTGGCAAGGCTGGCCCCCTCCACCGCCGCCGACGCCGCCGCCGCCACCGCGGCCACGGCATTTGGCGAGTCAGTCGCCGGCGAGGGGCACCCCCGCGCTGCCGCCAAGCCGCGCCGCCAAGCCTGTAAACCTCGGTAAACCGGCACCGGACCGGGTTTTCGGCGTTTTTTAGTCTCCGCGAAAAAGCCGCCCTCCCCCGGGGGCGGGTCGGAGTGATTCCTTGTGTGTGTCTGCCTCGCCGGGCCTCGCCTGCAGCGGCTTTCGATTATGCACGACGGCGCTGACGGCGGAGGCCCGGCCGCCAGCCCTGCCAGCCCCGCCAGGCCCGGGCTAGCACCGCCGCCACCGTCGGCAGTCGGAGCCACTGCCGCATGATGGTGGCCCCGCCGTCGCTGTATCGGCTCAGCCTGCAGAGGCTGGCCGTCCTGGTAGACAGGCAGGGCCTGCAGGGCCAATCTGGACAGCTCCCCGCCAACAAGAAGGGCGCGCTCGACGACCTAGGTACGCGGAGACAGACAGGCAGAAGGGCGGACAGACAGACGGACTGACAGACAGACAGGCAGGGTGTGTGCGGCAAAGAAGAAGATGCGCGAAGCAGCGACAAAAGCGGGTTGGAGTGAGAAATACGGTCTATCTATTTACTCTGGAACCGAGCGCCCGCTGCCGGTGCCGCTGCGAGTGGCTCTTGTTGATGCTTATCGACACGCCTGCATGTCTCCCTGTCACTCCAGGCGCGGCGCCGCCGCCCTGGCAAGCTGGCAGGCAGCGCCCCTGGCAGGCAGGCAACAAGTTGCACAATGCAGTACGCACTCAATCGGCTGCAAGATGGATTGGCGGCTCTGCGACGGCAACGCGGCAGCCTCGCTGTTGTTGTGTGTGCTGCGCTGTGCAGCCGCATCGGCGACTGGGAGGGGGAGGGGGTGGGGGAGGGGCCGCGCGTGACGGCCCGAGAGTCACGGGGATGATATTGTTTCGGTGCGCTGCCGGGCTATGGCGCACAGTGGGCCAGAAGACCGGTGGAGGCGGCCAAAACTCTAGACGCATTTTGAGCTCCAGAGTCGCTAAACAGGACTCGAACCGAGCGTGTGACCCCACTAATGGATTTCTCGTTCGGAGAGCAATCCATTGGTGGGGTCACACGTTCAGTTCGATTCTCATCTAGCGACTCTGGAGCACAAAACGCGTCTAGAGTTTTGGCCGCCTCCACCGGTCTTCTGGCCCACTGTGCGGGCCCCATGGGCGGGTCCCAGGCTCAGAGACGCTGAGCCTCAGAGTGCTCCGGATGAAACGACGCCGGCATGTGCAGCGGCGGCGGCAGCCCAGTGGAAGCAGCTGCAGCACAGTATTAGCAGCGGCTGCTGCTGCAGGCTGGGCCGAAGGGCCGAGGGAAAGGGCGGTTGAGTCGCCGGGGCCGCACAGTGGGCCAAATCCCGGACGCGTTTTGAGCTCCAGAGTCGCTAAGCGGGACTCGAACCGAACGTGTGACCCCACCAATGTATTGCTCTCTGAAAGAGGTATCCATCAAACGAGGCAGGAGACCGATGTAAAATCTCGGTCGCCGCTGTTTCCGGCCGTCGAATGAGTCACTGGCCTGGATTTCGCAATCTCGCGATTTCTCTGGCGTGTTTGGGTCCCTGTGCGCGTGCCGCGGGTTCGATTCCCCGCAGCGCGGCGCAGCGCGGCCCCGCATTGCTCGCCTTTCTCTCTTCCCAAGTGTAGCGCTGCCACTCGGAAGCTTCGCGCGGAGAGCGGGGGAAAGAGGGGGGGGGGGAGAAAGTTGGCCCCACAAATAGAACGCCCCCGCGCCGCCCGCGCCGCCTGGTGCCAATAATTCCTTGCTAGTTATTTCAAACTTTGAAGGGGAGAAGAGAGAGTTGCCCCGGCCACATCACCGGAACGAGTTTTTCCTTACTTCCCGCGTCTCCGCGGCCACCTCTCCTGGGCCACCTCTCCGCGACGGCCAGTTAATTTTGGCGCGAAACGTCGTCTTGACGGAGGGCCCGTCAGACTTCGGCCCCACGGGGGGCACCGCACGCGGCGCACGCGGCCACGCACAGCCACGTAAAAAAAGAATTTGTTGTGACAACGAAAATGTATGTTGATTTTGGGATAGCTAAAAAAAGTTGTTGGGCGTACTACCAATTTGTTGTCAGAACGAACATTTCGTTCTGACAACGAACTATATCGTCAGGAGTACTAAACACAATAAAAATGAATGTTTGTACTCCTAACGAATAATTTGTCGTGAGAGCAAAGTGTTCGTTCTCACAACAAATTTATAGTACGTCTAACAACTTTTTTTTTGCTATCCCAAAATCAACATACATTTTCGTTGTCACAACAAATTCTTTTTTTCCGTGAGTGGGCCGGAAGAGCGGCGGAGGCTGGTTGAAATCCCCGACGCGTTTTGAGCTCCAGAGTCGCTAAACAGGTTTCGAACCGAACGTGTGACCCCACCAATGGATTGCTCTCCGAATAAGGAATCCATTGGTGGGGTCACTCGTTCGGTTCTAGTCCTGCTTAGCTACTCTGGCGCCCAAAACGCGTCCAGAACTTCGGCCGCCTCCATCGGTCTTCCGGCCCACCGTGCCACGCCACCACGCGACCCGCGGCCGCGAGTCTTGGAGGCTCCGGGGCGGCCGAAAGGCAAGTTCCGTCGGGACACGTCCATAAACCATGCGGCCACTTGGGGGTAGGGTGTCCACGTGGTCCAAACTTAATTAATTCAATATTAAAGGCACGGCCGGCCAGCCTGAGTGGCAGGGTGGTGCTCGGAAATCAGTCACGTTGTTCAATGGCCTCCGACCGAGCGACGTCCCACACTATCGGAAAGCAACTCAACTTCCTGATTTTTCCACATCTTCTTCTTTATTTATTCCTGTTCTAACTTTTCGCGTGGCCACCCTATCCTGTCGTTCATGTCCTAAAGTGGCGCGTGGCCACCCTATGCTGTCCGCAGCCGGCTCGGTGGTGGAGGAACTGCTGCTGCAGCTGCTGCTCGTGGACGGCGGCGGCGCGTGGCCACCCTAGTCTCTGTCCTAACGTGGCGCGTGGCCACCCTATGCTGTCCGCAGCCGGCTCGGTGGTGGAGGAACTGCTGCTGCAGCTGCTGCTCGTGGACGGCGGCGGCGCGTGGCCACCCTAGTCTCTGTCCTAACGTGGCGCGTGGCCACCCTATGCTGTCCGCAGCCGGCTCGGTGGTGGAGGAACTGCTGCTGCAGCTGCTGCTCGTGGACGGCGGCGGCGCGTGGCGCGACCGGTGGCGGCCGTGCCTCACGCCGCGCCTGCAGTGCTGCCCCGCGGCCTGGGACGCCGCGCTGCTGCGGCACATGGCCAGCCGATGCCCGGTAAGGGAAGACCCCCCGCCACACTAGACTAGGGGTACGCGCCGTTTAGTCTGGGCGCGTAGTGTGGCTGAGCGATGCGAATTGACATAGTTTGTGCACTTTGGACTTTGCTTGAGTAGATGAAATGTCCATCTTAAGGGCTCATATTCAGTGAACTTTAGACCAGGGGGTTTAAAAGGAAGTGATTTTCGTTATCAGAACCCCCAAAAAATGCTGGGATCAGTGTCCCAAATCCATTTAAAAAAATTTTGGGCCAAAATTGGTCAAAATTCGGTTTTAAAAGTGAGTCTGGGAAAAGTTTGAAGGTCATTTTTGAGTTCAGCACACCAAAAACTGCAGG